TACCCTTATTTTGTTCTTTCCTGACGTATATCTGATTGAGAAGGTGTGAAGAGAAGAAAAAATAAAATATATGTTAAATGGTTAGGCCTTCCTAGCGAACAGAATTCTTGGATTGATGAATCAAATATGGTTTAAATGTATCTACTAATTTATTTTTGAATGAAGTAATGTTGAAGTTCATTACTGTTTTCATTTCAATTATATGTACGTGAATTGAAAAAAAATGCAGCGGTAAACGTTGCCCCAACCATTCGCAACGTTCTGTGTATACCAAACCAAATTAATTGTATACTAAATTCCCTCTTATATTTTTCCAACTCACGATATTGAAAACACATTACCATTTCCAAAACTAATCGCTGTCATTTTGAAATGCACTCTCCAACTCTTTTCGCCAATTATCTCTCACTGATAATGCCGTCTCATAAAGTTGAGTCGACTTCTCAAGCTCTGCCAGAGCTCGCATTCTGGAACGTTGATTGAATTGGTTATCTTTCATAATTTTTGAACGGAGTTCATCTGCATCTTCACACATTTTAACCAATTCAAACTTCACTAATGCAATCTTGGCATCTAATGCTTGAAGAGTTTCCTTATTGACATTAATAGCTGGCCCACTCTTTTCGTGTTCAGCAATGGTTATCTGTGCCTTTACAAGGCGGCATTTTGATTTCTTTTCCATATCCCCAAACCGATACAGTGGACTGAAAGAAGATCGCGATTCAGCTTTCAAATCACCCTTCATTTTCAACAACAATTTGCTCAATTGGTTCCGGCACATCTGCAAGGTTAATGAAGTTAATATTAAAATCATTTATCAACTCTCGACTCGATAAATGTAATACTGGAATATTTTAAAATCAGTGTGATCGATATCAACAAGTGGCGAATCATCTTCAGCAATCAATAGCGGCATGGAGTTCATGATAATGATTATTCGGGTATGAGGAATGATATGTGATAGCAATAGAATGTGAATAGGAAAGATGATGATGTTACTGAAACTTTACCTTTTATAGAAGAAAGTAAACTAGCGCATGCGCTCTTTCACTAAACTGTTCACGCATGTGGCGATCTTTGTCATTTGAGAGGAACACTTTGTTGCATGCATTTTTAAAATGTGAGAAAATAATACAAATAGATTCAAAATAATATATTTATTAATAACTCCTATTGAGGTGAAGTTGACCAACCTTCTCACATAGATCCCAAGTACTTCTACATGTAGTGCATATTTGATTCCAAAAATTCATTGAGTATGTATCGCTAGGCAAACAACATTGCAACGGAGCTGCAGGACACCAAACCAAACCAGGACACCAAACCAAACCAAACGAAAAAACCAAACCAGGACACCAAACCAAAAAACTAACAAACATCTTCAAGTCATTGAACATCAACATCACATACAAGCCAAACACGAAAATAACACAAAAAATAAACAGCTATGAAAAAGAAGAAGACAAAAACCAAAACGGGATATACAGTATACAATGCTCGGACTGCAACAAATTCTATATCGGCCAAACCAAGAAAAAACTGATCCAAAGGTACGATGAACACAAAAAGGCATACATAAACCCAATAGTATATAAATCAAACCTCGCAACACACGCCATACAAAACAAACATAATTTCCCCCCACCAGAGAACATAAAACTCATAAAACAAGTCAATAAG